TTGACAAATATCTTAATTTAAAGAGTTAGAATAATATATATTATAGGAAACCCGCGTGTATACGCGGGTGTTCATCTAGTAATCTTATAATTTTAGAGCCTAAGTGCCAAATTCAATTTCAATTAAAGAGACGTGTCGAGCCAAACAAGCCATCTCTCTTTCTAGGTGCACAATTTTGAATTTAGTAATGTGTTATCTCATTTATATATTACATGATTTTTAATCATATAAGCAATGAGTTTAATTTACTCTTAGACAATTTTCATTGGGAGTTATTTTATGGGTCTCTTATCCATTAAAAATGATTTTTCTTAAAAAAGTACGAAAGAGAAGAATATGAATTTTTCAAATGAGAGACTTTCACAAATTTTGGAAAAACCCATTTAGAACATGAAGACATATGATTTGTTCAAATTTGTATTTTGATTTTAAAATTCAAAGAAACAAATCTTTTTTTCTAGCGTTTTATGTAAATCTGAAAAAAAGAAAGTGATCATTCTTGGAAAAAAATCGAACCTTTTTGCTTCCAGAGAAACAAAACAAGTTGGTGTACAAAAACAAATTAAAGACTTGGGACAAAAGGAAAAGAAGGAAAACTCAAATGAAAGAGAAAAAGACAAATCAGCTAAAGAACAACTCTTTGGTGGTAGCTTTAGTTTTTATTTAAAAACTTCTTCTAGAGACTAGAATCTGGAAATCATCCAAGAGGCAAGCTAATGCAAGTCAAGCTTTCCAAACACATGGATGAAGTATTGACCGGCAAGGAAAGAAAGCGCAGATGCCACAATCGCTATTCCGGTATATTCAGCGACGGTCTTGAGTTTATGCATGGTGAAAGCGTACGATTTGGCAAAGGAGAGAGAGATGACGCAGACCAGAGATACAGCGAAAACAACCGCAGCTTTAGAGTGTTCTCTGTCGATTATTTTGTAAGAGAATCCGTACAAGAGAGGAGGGATCACAGCAAAGATGAGTAAGGAAACCAACACAACGACAAAGTGGAGCAATGCAAATTTTTTCTTTCCTAACAGGACCTCGTACTGATGATCCTCTGCTTCATCATTTTTTGCTGCCAGATTTGTCATATCATCATGGTTCTCACCTCGATATGGTCGTCTCCATCGCAGCACACATAACTGCCAAAATATGTATCTTCTTTTGTAAGTGTGAATGGTTAAAATAAACTTTCCAATGAAGAATTACTGATAATTAGTGTTTAAGCACATGAGAAAACAGAGCACATACTCTGTTTTCTCAATAGCCTGACTTACTAACGTCTGAAACAATTTGCACGCATAAAGAAACAAAAAAAAGAGAAGAAAGAGAGGAAACAAAACTAACGTTGTGACCGATGAGAAGAAAACCACTGAATAAATTGGCTAGCCCCAAGGCCAAAACGTTGACTGCAAGCAAATAAGTGATTATTTTGAATCGAGATGTATGTAGTGTCTGTGTGTTCATGTGTACTTACGAGTTGAAGCTCCGGAACCAGCAGCGGAAGATACGACACCGAGGCTTGTGATTGACTCGATTAGACCTCCGTACACAATACTCTTCAAGATGTCTAGTTTTATTGATGGGAGTTTTTGAAATGGATCCACCATATATTTCCCCAACATATCTATACTATGTACCTTCAGAATGGTAATAATAGATGGCATTGGACCTTAAGCAAACAAAGAAGAAGAAAAGAGTCAGAGAGAGATGACAAAGATCAGATATGGTCATCTTTATTTCAATCAACAAAGGCATTAAAGAAGCATGCGGAAGGACATGTAAATTCGTCATGGTTTCTTCTATAACACTATAGTCTATTGATAGATACCGTTAGTTAATGTTTACCTGTCCTGAGCCGCCAGGCTAGAATCAGAATGGCGAGAAGAAACAGCAAGATTACGGGAAGGTACTTGATCATCGGGAAATGTATGGGCAAAGGCAAGGAGGGCAAGCGTGGTTTTTTATTTCCTCCTCCCGTAGAAGAAGGCAGTGCCCATACAACAATGACTAGTAGCAATGGCAGAACCACAACCAATAGATACCGCATATATTTTTTACCTTGAGGAGGATCAGTAGTTCCAGTAGATGGAGGGGTTTTGACTGGCTCTGTAGATCAAGAAACATTCGTCACTTACCAAAGCGTCTACACCATCATTATCATATATATAAAGCAATGCATACACTTACTAGTAGCTTGATTAGACGGGGTATTTGCAGTTTGCCCTGTAGATCAAGAAAATTAATCATTTAAGCATTTTTTTTTTTTTTAAACAAACCG